TATGAAACTTAAAACAATGGGCAGATTGGTTATTATAGTGTAATTAATGAAGATTCGTGTGTACTATCACTTGCATCGTGATAGTTAACATGCTGATAATGATATGCCGTTGAGTTTTAAATAAGAAGGATTTATTAATTCACTGAATCGACTTCCACTAGTGATGGCAAGCTCGATGGCTGTGGATAAATTATCGAATTCGTTCCTTGGGTTCAGTAATTCTACATCTTTATTAGCAACTAGCTCCTTCTGTGCGGTTTTACCCGCTCCTATTGTAATAGTAGCGTGGTGTATAGCGTATATCCATATTAAGGGACAAACCAACACAAAAAGAACAGTTCAATTCGAACCAATCGTACCGGCGATTAGCTCGTTCAAACAAACTCTTTAGCTTTTTAATATTAGTATAGATAAGCTCTTTCAACGTATACAAAATGATTATACTAAAAAATACAGATCTTGCGATTTGCACTGCATCTATTACCAAAACAAAACAGAGAACAATAACACTATTTGAATAAAAAAGTCACGTAAATCGGATAAGTGGTTTTTGAGGTAACAGCTATAACGGAACATAAACGTACTTACATTTAAGTAAGTACGCACCTAGAGTTTAAGAGTGAGAGAGCTATGCTTCTGTATGAATAGGCAGGCTTGACCGGAGTGATACCACGGCCTCACGGAAAACCGGCGTGGAACAACAAAAACATTTTGTTTCGCAGAGACGAAATCCGTCCCATCCCTCCTCTACCATATTTTAAAAATACTTTATTTCAAAATGTTAGGCAACGTACTAGCATCTCCTAGGTGTTGCGGGTTTCTAAACGCGGCACCGGTTGCTTACCATCAGTTAATCCAACTGCAAGTTTACACACATAAAAAACATAGAGGCAGAAACTGTATGTGTGTGTATGTGTGAAATGTTCATATGTAAAGGTTGCCTACATCGAGATACATTGTTACCATTGGTGTCGAAAACAATTGAAGAATCCAAGTTAATTTACATCCATCTAATATTATAATGTGTATTTTTGTTATGAGCAAACTCAGAAACCACTGTGCTGATTCCAAACACAATACATTTTATCCTTTATTGTAGTATCCATTCAATCTAAGCTCGAAACTGCACACCTGTTTCGTGAGTCGCCACAAAGTACTTCACAGCCGTTGCAAAACATATCAAATATTTGTCAACATTCTATTATGTTATAAATTTTATTACACTATGATAATAAAAAATAATTTAATACTGACGAATAAATGCATAACTCTGCTATATGTATTAGGATTTGTTGAGAATTTTTTTTTTTTATTATAATTAATCTTTTGTGTTTCTTAAGGCAACTGTTTGTTGTTTCATCATCAGATATTTGCTTATTAAATATTAAATTGATGCCAAATATTTAATTATTCAGTGGCAAATTAAATAATTGACTTTTATTTAATAATGGAGATGGTTTATCGAAAACTTAAAATTAAAGCTTACCTACTAAGCCTACTTTATTTACCAAAAAATGTCGAAAAGTGGTTGCTATACTGTGTACATGATCGGGGTTACTTCGAGATTGCACCCAAGCGCAATGATGTACTGCAGATATACCGGAGCAGGATAAGGGACTTGGTAGTTTTCAGTCAGTAAGAGTCTTATACTCCCTCTTGCTCGCCTTACGGCGGGAGAAATTCACGAATAAAAAAAAGGTAATGAAAAAGGGTCAAGTAATCACTATATAGTATAAAACAAAATCGCTTTCTCTGTCCCTATATCCCTATGTATGCTTTAATCTTTAAAACTATGCTACAAATTTTGATGATGTTTTTTCATAAATAGATTGAATACAGAAGATGATGTATATGTATAATTTACAGCATTGCAGCCGTGCGACACCGAGGCGATCGCCTGTTATGTAATAATACAAAGATCAACTACAACTAGAAGGGGCATCCCAGAAATAGCTTAAATTAAAATGACGTTCTTCATAGCTTCAAGTTTACTAGTTCATGGTCAAAAGATTAACACACTGCACGGTAGGCAGTCAAGGTTTTGAGGTAGCATGGACAGGCCACGTTTATATACGTAATATGCTAATTACCGTGTAACAGCCGCTTTCGTAATACTATTATTATTTTATGGTCATCGATAATCGCTTCCAGATGCACGTAGTTATTTATTTGTTTATCTTTGTATTTATGTTGAACTATCTCTTTTGCGCTAGTGGAGTTGACACCAGTGTTATTCTTTTGCTTTTTTTGTTTTTAAATGTAAAATAGTATTTTCCCGTATCATGGGTGCGTTTACAATACAAACATCCAAATTATGTACATATATTATGTACACATCACACCCAGCGTAGTTCCGTGTGGGTATCGAACCCGGAGAGCTAGTTGACAGGCCACCGCATTCACCATGAAGATGTGTAGTATTATGTTTAGAAACGCAACCACGACATAGGAGAAAGGTCCTGGTGAAGGACAAGATTAAAAAAATATATAAAATTTTCTCAAAAAGCTTGTCACTTATGACGAAAAACCTTTGTAGCATGCAATTTGCCCTGCATTACCTTCCTGCGTTCAAAGGAACGGTACTTTTAAAGGAACGCACACTAATTCGTGGAACGGTTCGGCGCATGCGTGGCCTGTGAATGCGATATTAAACACAAATGGGCCGACAGCAAGATAAATTTAAAAATGTACTTGAGTTGAATGTTAATATAAAATGTGGAGTACATTTTTGAACTTCATACATTGTTACATACTATCTCAATATCGGAAGAGCAAATGCCGATTAAGGGGTCTTTCTTTTAATATTATTATGTTGGTATGTCTTTACCAATCACGGGGGCACAGGGCCCCGAGTAAGGGTCGCTCGCCACCCGACCAGAACGGCGAAGAAGCCAATAGAGCACCACAGACGGCGCCCTATAGGGCTGATGTTCAGCCGTATTTGAGGGTTAGTACGGGCCCAAGTCAACTGTAGTAACCTATATGATAATCTCTAAATGGCTTTCCTCGCCCGGAATGTGGCGAGAGGAAGTGTCTGACTCTTACTGACTAAAAGCCATCCCGTTCTTTTTTCCTGCTTCAATCCGAGGCCGCGGCACCTTATTGCATTTGAACCGCAACCTCGGCTGTAATGAAGTTATTCTCAGAACCAGTAGAAGAAAAGACGACAGTCGAAGCATCGCGAATATATATTTTAACTATCAATTTAGGTAATTAGGTAGGTACTATTAAAATAACCTAGTACTTATATCCATAATAATATGTCAAATGTCATCGTTATGAATTTAGTCATGAATATTCCATAAATAAATTAAAATAGTCATAAATTTCAATGTCAGAAGAGCAATTCAAGTGTATCTAAATGATCCATTAAAAATATTATATTGCTATGTTAATGTAAATAATAATAAAATTCTAAATAGTTAGAACCTTGATTGGCATTTGTCGACCTCGCGTGTTAAAATAATTTAAAAAATAAAATGTATTCTATCTCGCTCGTTCGATTTGAATTTGTTTTTGAGGTTATGGTTTTGATAGGTTAATGTCAATAATTTAGGTACACCAGTAAACAATAGAAAGCAGAATTAAAGTACAAGAATTGTCTGTCATTTTTGCTGCCATACACCTCCTTATCCAGGGACGACGACATGAAAAATGTAAAATTTTTGTTTTTGCTAATAACGATGAGTCCCTACAAGAAATTAATAGTATCTATAATTGATACGAAATAGATCAACAAATGCTACTCTTTAAAATTAATATTTATATTGGGCATCGATTTTATTTTGGGCCGGCTCGACCGGAGTGATTCCACGGCCTCACAGAAAACCAGCGCGAAGCAAACCTTCTGATGTGTTTCCCCGTGTGAGTAAGGTTACCGGAGGCCCAATCTCCCCCCCCCCCACCTCTATCCTCCTCAATCCGTAAATCCTCCTTTGGTATTACGAGGGTCTCTATCAAGTAATCCGTCTGCTCGTTTGCTGAACTAGGACATTACAATAAATAACAATTTTCTTTACCACAACATTAAGCAAACAGTGACTTCAGTAGTCATGCATAACAAATGCGATTATGCAAGACAAAACAAAAAAGAAAAAGTTACATTGTTTCTCATAAACATGAAAGTTTCATTTTTTATTTAGGCGTGAACGCCTTGTCATTTCTCCTAAGCTACCAACCAGTATAAGATGAGCTCACATTCTTCTATGTTATTAAGGAAATGGAGATCATAATACGAGGTGTGAAATTACACGTTTTTTGTGCCTTAGTGTATTCAAACAGATTTCTATGTAATGTATAACGCAAGAGAACATACGTTGTCGGAGAAATCTATGAATGAATTGCCTTGATGAGTGACATCTCGGGTCGGATCGGCATTTTTCGTGCTTATGAGCTCCTATCCGGGCTTGAAACTAGGCGACTAACCTCGACTACTCCAACAGTTATATGAGTAATTAGACGAGTCTAATTAATTAAATATATGTATCCCAGAAAAAAAATTGTACCTACTTATTTTCTATAGCATAAAATTGAATAGCTAACAAGGTTTTGTTAAGTGTACATATATCTACCGATTTCGATTCGATTTTTTTTCTTTTTTGTACTTTTTAGTATCTAGAGGAGTTTCATGTTAAACAAATTTGTAAAAAAGTTGAGGAGAAGATCGGGTAATAGCACCCCTTCGGATGCAGTCGCTGTAAGATAACAAAACAAATGACTGACACCCAATTAATAGGACATCGGTGCAAAGCAGAGACGAGCCCCTATTCATTACATCATACCACGTCATAAGCCTATAACTGCTCAAGGCAGATTGGCGATTTCAAAGTTACAATTTCAGATTACCTCACGATGTTTTCCTCCACCATGTTCAAATAATCATAGAAATACATACATATAACTCTGAAAATCTCACTGGTACTATCGAACGTCGGCCAGGTTTCGAACCCTGAGGGCCACCGCGAAAATTAATCATATCTATCTACATAAAGAAAACTTACCGATATAAGGTGTAAACCGCCAAGTATTTCCCAAGAACGGCAACGGACGTGGCCCAGGTACTTCTTCCCACGATTTTACCGAAGGGGCCATGTCAAAAATGGACGTGTCAATCGCTGCGTGAGTCGATCGCGCGCGAAATCCTTTTACCGGACATGTTTGAACCGGTTTTTGACCTGTAAAGAGTACAAGATAATTGATTTTTTTGTTTAGGCAAGAGAGAATTAAAGACTTTTTTATTATGGTGTTAGTAGTATCTGTATTACGTTGAATAGTTGGCACAATAAAATGAATAAATGTATGTACGGCCTAGTTCTCACCTATTGTAGCGTAATTATAAGATTGTTTGCTTACCTCACATTGCTAACTAGATTTGTCAAAAGAAAAAAGGACAGCTGGCTACTAAACAATAACAATATTATATTTTATTAGTATACATCCCTACATCCAATCTTTCCCCTCACCTAAACCCTATCCAATCCCTAAATTCTCTCCGAACCTCTTATCCCCAAAAAGTCGGCAACGCACTTGTAACTCCTATGTATAGTTGCAGGTACCATCAGGTAATTCGTCTGCTCGTTTGCCGAACTATTACATGATAAAATGTGAAATGAACATGATCCTCGTTTTTTTCGTCATAGTTCATAGTGTAATATTATAGAATGTAATAAACGTTTGAGTTTAGTTTTCCCTCGAAAAAACCAGACTGTTATAAGATGAAATGCCTAGGACCGCCATACATTATAATTATTCGAGGCCTTCAACTAGGCCTTCTCAAAAATTTTTTGTAACAATTATTTAAATAATATGCGAAGTAATTATAATTATATGCAACTCCAACCCACGGTCAGTCCGTATCTAAAATTTTGTTAGCTTCATAACTATCCTACACAGATAAACCAGTTTTAAAAAATCTAGCTAGCAATTTTGAACTCTATAAACGATATAATTAAAGTACTTTCTTCATTATTAGACGTTACATACTATAATTTTAAGTTATCTTAGTTTATCTAGTTTTACATCACCATGCAATGCAACCTTAACAATTTAGATCTAATAACAGCTGGAAACACTATTACCTACACGCTCACCCGCCGTGACGTTTGCGCAAGACTTGTACGCGATTTTAGTTTCAACATCAGGAAAAAATGTCCTTATAAAACATGTTATTTAGTTTTACATTAGGCATTATCTATAAGGGCGAATTTCCTGTGCATTGATGCATGATTTTAATTTTAATATTAGTCTTTGTCTATCTTATTCTTATTGGTCTAATGTTTTAAGGCCAAATTCTAAAAATAATTTTACACCTACGTAGTGCCTGTTTCTTCTTATGTGGAATATTATAGTTTCTACAAATGAAGTTCTCATAATATTTTTTGGTATCGATCAACAATATAGATACTTATATGAAACGGGCCCTTAACATATTCATTGCCAGCAATTCAACCTTATGTCGTACTACTTTATTTTTTATCCTTTTTAATTGTCAAAATAAAAAATATTCGACAATATTTTCTGGATTCTAATTTTCTTTTTTTTAATTCATTAAAAGAAATTCACTCATTTATCAGATGAAAATGAGTGAATTTCTTTTATTATAATTATAATAATATGTTCATATATGTATGTTTAATTTAGAAAAAGAAATACATATTGAGTCACTTTGTGGAACTCAAGAATTTTTGTAAGAATTAGGTATGTTTCTTTCTATCGTATATCGTTTTTATAGTCACGGAAACTATAGATCTTGGTAGTAAAAAGCGATAATGCGTATAAATCGAAGTAAAGGAAATCCATAAACACTTACTGATTTCTAATGCGCTCTCGGTTGGTTTTGTATTTTGTGTACTGGTTGTTATTAAACGAGCGCCCTTGACGTTGCGTAGCGGCCATTTTACTACGCTGATTCGACCCCTCATTATTTTGATACTTGACTCTGAAACAAATATTTTTTTTATTATAAAAGTATCACAAAGCATCTTTGATACACAGCTTCGAGTGTTCGGTGTTTGCTCACTAGCTCACTAAATTAAGTTGGTACAAAGTGATTTTTTTTACTCATTATGGACACCCGCAACACCAAAGGCGGTACGAGTGCGTTGCCGGCTTTTTAGGGTTTCCGATATTTAAGGATTAGAAAGGGATGGGGGAGGGATTGGGCCTCCGGTAACCTCACTTACACGGTGAAACACAACGGTGCGGTTGTTTCACGCCGGTTTTTTGTGAGGCTTAAGTATCACTCCGGTCGAGTCGACCCATTCATCAAGCTTGGCTCTCCCACATTTCAGTTCACAAAGTGTAGGTATTTTGTCAATTTTTAAAGAATACAGTTTTTCCTAGTTAATCAATGAGCAAATAATGTGGGTTTTAGGACACTACTACTATGCAAAGCCGCAAAGCGACTTTTCATCAGTAATAAAATAAAATCAGCTGATGACAAGATAAAGGCTACGTGGAAAATAATACAGAATGAGACAGGTAGGAAACGATTAAAAAATTCGGAATTTTGTTTAAACACTCAAAGGGGACAGATTTCGTCAAGCAAAGATGTAGCTCAGGAGTTTGAGGCATTTTTTGCTAATATACCTGTCACAACAACTGCTCATTTAGAATCATCAGCCAGACTATCGGTAACTTTGCTTAGAGAAAATGTCAAATCATGCAAAGACGATTTTAGTTTTCATTATACCAATCCTTTAGAGATAATAAAGGTTTTTAAAGAAATCAAGATCAAATCAACTGAGGACCTTTGGGGATTATCGGTGAAAGTATGCGGATCACTTATCCGAACTTTAGCGCCGTATCTGGCTTTGATTTTCAATAAAAGTATAGATGACGGTGTCTTCCCGAACCTAATGAAATACAGTAAAGTTATTCCATTATTCAAAAATGGTGACACTAAGGAACCAAACAACTTTAGGCCTGTGTCTGTTCTGCCGGTTCTTAGCAAAGTGTTTGAAAAGTTAATGCTATCTCGGATGCTTCATCACTTTGATAAACATGCCATCTTCCATCACCAACAATACGGTTTCACTAAAGGTCGTTGCACAACTGACGCCGGTGTCACTTTGATAAAGGAGGTATTCGGTGCTTGGGAGGAAGCACAGAATGCTGTTGGTGTCTTTTGCGACCTCTAAAAGGCGTTCGATTGCGTTGATCATGAAACACTCTTGCTGAAATTAGATCATTACGGGATTAGACATACTGCACTCCGTCTACTAAAGTCATATTTAGAGGATAGGCAGCTGAGAGTTCATGTAGGTGGTTCTACCTCACGGGGCTCTGAGATAAGAATTGGCGTACCGCAAGGTTCAATTTTGGGTCCGTTTCTCTTCTTTGTGTATGTTAATGACTTGCCATTTCTATTTAAAACCGAGCCAAGAATGGTGCTGTTTGCAGATGATACATCATTAATTTTTAGAATAGATCGACGTGTTAATTATTTTGACGAAGTAAACAGATCCATTCATCAAGTTCATAATTGGTTTACAGTCAATAATTTAGCACTTAACGAGAAAAAAACAAAATGTATTAAATTTAGCTTGCCCAACGTACACAGTAATGATTGTGACATAATTTTAAATGGGCAAAAGTTAGAATTTGTTAACGAGACTATGTTCCTAGGTATTACGCTAGACAATAAACTTCAATGGGGTTCCCACATAAAGACGCTTTCGGGAAGACTGAGCTCAGCTGTTTTTGCAGTTAGACAGATTAGACAGCTCACAGACGTGAACACAGCAAGGCTTGTTTATTTTAGCTATTTTCACAGCATTATGTCGTACGGAATTTTGCTGTGGGGTCGAGCTGCGGAAGTAGATTCAATATTTATTTTGCAAAAGCGGGCTATCCGAGCGATATATAACTTGCCCCCTCGTGAATCTCTGAGAGAACTATTTAAAACGATAAATATCCTAACGGTACCTTGTCAGTTTATATATGAAAACATTATGTACGTAAGGAAAAATTTGCAATTATTTGAAAAAAGAAGCGATAGACATAATTTTAATACAAGAGGCAAAGCTGGCTGTGCCACGATTCCGTCTGTCCAAAGTACAAAAATCCTTTATGGGGTTCTGTGTAAATTGTTACAATAAAATTCCAAGAAGTGTATTAAATCTTAATGAGGCATACTACAAACTTTCAGATTATATTGAGGACAAGAATGCCTGGCATCATGTTGGTTCGGCTCCACTGGACAATACTCAAATATGTAGTCAGTAGTTATTGAAATTCTCAAAATTAATGAAACCTTGAATGAGTTTATATAGAAGCATTCTTTTGGATTGTGAGTACGCATATGTGAGCGCCATGTTCGAGACAACAAAGGATTAAAATTTTAATGATAGATTAGATAGACCATCATTTGTTCCTTTTTATTAACAACTTGTCTCTGCATTGTTCTCACATAGGGGTACAGTAATGTATAAAAAATGTATTATTTATGAATTGTAAAACAAATATTTTTTTTAAAAGAGTAACGATGGAGTTTCTTGCTCGTTCTTCTCCATTCGAAACTACAATTTGGAACGAGCACCTAGCTTCACTGACGAACAGACTGACAGACTACTATTCTATTTTGACGTTTCAAAAGTACCTATTTATGGTTTATTTGGAATAAATGATTTTGATTTGATTTAATTTGACTAGCCTGGAAAACGGTTAAATGTTTAATTTTATTTGTGGTCAGATTCCTTAAGAGGTTTCAAGGCAGAACCGATCCTATGGTGGTGCGACCGCTTCAATCGATAAACGAAAAGGGCGCCAAAACGAAATAAGACGAACGAATAAACATGGCTGACCGAGTTATTATTTACAAAAGCGTATTTTTTTACACCACCTTAAAAAATATATTGACGTTTATGAACTGACAAGAAGATAATATATGTATATGCTATGTGGTTTTTATAGTTAGTAAGAGAGACAAAGAGCGTTTGCTCAAACAGAACGGGAGGAGTCATTCGATGATGTGTAATAAAAAAGGAAGTTATTATGAATCTACGATCGCCGCCAATAAAGAAATAAATATAAACATAATATAATTGCATGGTAAAGAACAATGTAAAATTAAGTAAATAACCGTTTACCGGAGGCCCAATCCCTCTCCTTCCCCTATCCCTTCCCAATCCTTATATCAGCAACCCCCATCCCCAAAAGGCCGGCAACGCATCGTAACTCCTTTGGTGTTGCGGATGTCTATGGGCGGCGCCGATTGCTTACCATCAGGTAATCCGTCTACTCGTTTGCCGACTTATACCATAAAAAAAGTATATTTTTATACCGAGACGATAAGAATATTCGACCATAATTCATCTCGAAAACTTTTACTTTGGCAACAAACCGGTGTTTGATGCGCAGCGCAGACAGTACAATTACACGTTTATGATAGTATAATATTTATGTACATCACATTTTTATTATAATAAACCAGTATATAATGACCGTTGAATGTACCGAAAGATCGTGCCAATCGAGACCATGATAAACTGGTTGTTATAGCTTATGCATTGCCGTTCTAAGAAAATCCTATCACAATGGATTCTTAAATAATCAGAAATTTTTAATGGGTAAGCTCTCCATTTCCTCTCAAAACCGCTGCAACTCCTATAAGCCAGGATATACGATAGATACAACCAGGAAAACCCCGGAACACACACGGACATGAATGAATGAAATCAGAAGATATTATTTGAAGAGAAGAGAAGCCCAGTCACCATGGAGAATTTGCTGTTGCAATGTGTGAGCTGCTATACTTGTTTTAAATATCTTGTCTGATGTTTGACAATGTTGACAATCTTTATCCACATAGGACATAGCTTAAGAGGTTTGTGTCCAGCAAATCGAATTGGATTGCTACTCAAGGATTGAACCAAAAATCCACTCAACTAATAAAAGAAAGTTATAACTACAAATACAAAAGTGTCTTGTTTCTTTCTTTCACATGATAATGGACCGATTTTACGATATAACCTAGGCGTTTTAGAACTCTATGTGAATAGTCGGCTCGACCGTTGTGATGCCACGGTTGTGTTTTGCAATAAGAATGAGGTTGCAGTAGGCCCCAATATTCTCAATTTTCAAATTTCGAACCTCTGTAATTGGGTAGTTTCCTAGGTCAAAAATAAATTAATTCGACGTTTTAATACGATAAAATATTGAAAAATAACTATACTTTTAGCCATCGATCGATCGATACACTAAGTTTTCGATATTTTTTAGCTATTTTTTTAAAAATAAGTACGCTATTTGACGCAAAAATGCTATGACGTCATAATTCAATGTTTCATACAATTTTCATAGAAAAGTATCGTTTTTGACATTTGGATAAAAGTATTGAATTTGACTAGTTGGAAACAACCGTATTCTGACATCTGTGACTAAGTTCATGTCTGTAAGTTTGCTAAAACTTTCTGTTTCGATTTCATTTCGAATGCTATTACTAACGACTAGGTTTTTTAAGGAAAGAAAATCATCAAATGACTTGTATCGCCTAGAAGGAGTGTCAGACTTACTGACTAAAACTGACTTACTGACTAAAAATGACTACGTTGCTTCTCCTGCTCCCAGACGAGGCCAAGGCACCTTATTACGATTGCCAAAGACCATCAAATTACTCATGAGATAAAGAATATTAATTATTTGTTCGCTTTCATTCACGTTAAAATGGAGCCATTGTACAGTCTATCCATAGTCTACAGTTTTCTGTGAGGCTGTGGTAACACTCCAGTCGAGCCGACCCATTTGTGTCGCAGCCTGGTTCTTCCACACTTCATATAAACTACTTCTACGTTCTAATCATACAAGTAAAGCTTCGAGTAACAGCTACATAGTTATAAAAGAATCTTCATCATAATACTATGAAAGAAACCTTCACACAATCTAAGAACCAATCTAAGCACAGCGGGAGCGTTTAAAAAAAACGTTAAAATCGTGATCAAGATGTGCTGAGACCTTTCAAAATTAATTGCTTTAAAAACTACGAACAGTTACCATTACACTGTTAGAGATTTAACATTTTTTCATTAAGAAGATAAACATTACCGTTTGAATATATTACATTGACCTTTCAGCATGCAAGGTTGTCTAGACTAAAAAGTATTTAAGCATTTTGAAAGTTTATGAAGCTTCGTTACGTTACGTTAGACTTAGTATTTCTTAAAATTTCAGAATAGTTAGTTGAATGTCTTTCAAGGTTTTGTATCCTTAGTATAAAAAAGTCAATGATGACGATCAAATGTTGAGTGAGAAAACGAAATGCGAGAAGAAGGAATTAAGGGTAGGACGGCACCTAATATAGGGAAAATAATTGAATCCGATAGAATACGACAAACGAAAAGGTTTTCAAATTAAATGTTTATGTAAACACCCTTTTACCCCTCTTTCAACCCTCTTGGAGTTGCAAGCGCAAAAATGTACCGGATCTCCAGCATGGAACCGAAGAAGGGCTGAAGACAGCTTGGTTTTTAGTCATTATGAAGACTCCCATCTCGGGACGAACAAAAGGCAAATTATGATTTTCTCCTGAAGAACTATAAATAGTTTGTAGTACATACTATTGAAGTTATAATTATTAATAAGGTATTAGATAGGTGCAATATTTAATCACCTATCGACCTGTATAACAGTTAAGGCCAATGTGTACAAAAATATATTTGAATATAGAACGTTATATTTCCGAACTATTTGCTACATAAGTTTATCTTTATTTTTTTACTAATATGAAGATACTAAAACAGTCCCTAGGATAAACAACATTAGATACATTTTGTCTTAAGTTAAAAAAATATATAAATATATTTCATATCTTTAATGCATTTCAGTTTGAAATTGTGCCAGATGAAAGCAAAATAAGCCTACCCCCAAGGCCGACTTAGAGATAAATAAGGCTAATGTTCTATTATTAGTTGTCAAGGCAAATAAATTAAATGATTTCGTGAAAAGTACGGTTGTTTCCAACTAGTCAAATTCAATACTTTTATCCAAATGTCAAAAAAGATACTTTTCTATGAAAATTGTATGAAACATTGAATTATGACGTCATAGCATTTTGGCGTCAAATAGCTTACTTATTTTTAAAAAAATAGCTAAAAAATATCTAAAACTTAGTTAAATCGATCGATCGATGAATAAAAGTATAGTTATTTTTCAATATTTTATCGTATTAAAACGTCGAATAAATTTATTTTTCACCTAAGAAACTACCCAGTTATCGAACATTTTTTAAAGGAGAGATAGTCATCAAATGACTTCCCTCGCCCAGGGTAAGACAAAAAGGAGTGTCAGACTCTTACTGACTAAAAACTATCCTGTCCCTTCTCCTGCTCCTGTCTGGGATCGGCGTACATTATTGAACTTGCACCCTCAACCCGGGCTGATCGTTCTATCTGTCAAATTTGAAATGGCGTAATTTTTTATAATGACATTGGTATATTTATAGAAAAATGTAGACACCTATTTAATTTGCATTAATTTGAATACATTTATATTCATTAATTATGTACCGATTTAATTTTGTTTTTAAGATAAAAATGAATGTTTATTTAAATATGTATTGTCACTTGTCATTTTATATGTTTAGCAATGTTAACATACATAGGTACATTTATCTGAATATTAAGTATGCAATTTTTTCTTGTCTAGAGTTCTAGATTTATAATCCTGTATATGTGAAAGAATCTTACACAGTTTGTACTGAAAAAATAATAATCACGCGATTTTATCTAAGGAATGACAGATTAATCTATTTTAATTGATACATGCACGTATGTAATCCCAACCTTTTCTAAATTTAAAATATTGTTCATTTCACATTTTACGGTGTGGTAGCGATTTTTTTTAAATAAACTTAAATTAATAATTTTTATTTCTATTTCGCTCGTAACAGCGTAAATAAACAGATTTACTTTCGTTCTTTCTTTAAGCATATACCTAATATTGTGTAGGTATTAAGTAACGTGATTTTAGTTTAAACATTAATTTAAATTATATATTACAATTTATACTTATTACAATTTTTCAAAACACGAATATTTTATAAACAATTCCTAAGATAGCGTCCGGAGTACCTCCGATCCGAATCCTATCCGAATACGTAAAAATATGGTTCTTGGTAGCCTTGAATTTTCTATGATACTTTACACACTATATCAGTCATCCCTTTTTTTCAAAGGAATATCCGAATTCCGTCCTAGTTTTTTATACTCGGCTTAGGATCGGACGTAGTCCGGAAGCGCACATAAAATGCAAAGCGATTTAAAAAAATAACAGATCACGATCACCATAGAACCAAAAAAGCCGGTACTTAATCATTCCAAAGAATTCTTCACCAAAACACCATCACACACACACACACATATCGCAGAAAATAAACACCGTACCTTTGGCAAAAATAAAACTGAAATGTCCAAAAATGTGTTATCAGTGACACGATTGACACAGCACCTTGACACGTTATCAGTAACAATAGAATGAACTGTGGTGACCCTCTGTACCCCTAGCAAGTTGGATGTCGACTGAGCTTCCTTGAACATAAGTCAGGTGCTTGCTTTCTGTGCATGTTTCCACTGTACAGCTTCATACGACATCCGAGATTCGTATTGTGTCAGTTTTTTATTTATATATTTAAAGTTATGAGTATAAAGATATTTAAATAACAGACTAAAATATATAATTTTGATACTAATTTTGTCTACACAGTTGACAGGCTGGACAACAAGCTGCTGAGCAAAGTGTCGCAGGTTCGATTTCCGCACGGAACAACCTTGTGTGATCCACAAATTCTTGTTTTGAGTCTCATTGTCTTGTGTAAATGGAAAATTGTAGTACCTATCATTTAACTCATAAAACATAAAAATGTCATATAATTTTATCATATTGGCTAAATATAATATTTACTCTTTAATTCCTTCTTAATTATTATGCTAAATATTCTTAACATTTAATTAAAAGTTATTTAAAACAGGAATTTCGTATCATCTGCTTATTGACACCTATCAATAGGTATAATACATACGTCAAAGTCAACGTCAAAGCATTTACTTCAATTATGTAATGCTTAAAAAGGCACTTTTAAAACGTCCAAGTAAAATCGACTTTCTGTCCGCGAGTGAAACTAGCTGCCTGTTTCACATAAGTTTAACTATATATTACAATACCTATCATTATTGGTTATTTTAGCAAATGAGCATTCGGAAAACTTAATGGTGGGCAATCGGCGCCGCTCATGGAAAAGTTAATGCATGAATGTGTCTCGAAATTACAAGTGCGTCCGACCTTTAGTTGATTGTTAGAGATTTGAGGATTAGCGATTCATTCATTTATGCGATATCAGGATAATCTTATTCATTAACACAACGCAAGCGTTAGTACAATCAGCCGGGGTTGCGGGGTAAGCGCAATGAGGCATCGCGACCTCGGCCCAGAGCAGGAGAAGGAACGGGGGGGGGGGGGGTTAGTCAGTAAGAAACACTATGGGCGGGCATAAAGTTTTTATGATTTTCTACTCACAAAAAAACGTAGTTCAAGCCGGTATTTTTTGAGGTCATATAGCATTCTAATCGAGTTGGCTCATTCGTAAAATAAATATAAAAATGACGTGTATTAATGTACCCGCGCAACAGTGCGTAAGAACTTGCGAACGGCTGCGGTACACGATGTTACAAACGAGATTGAAAGTATCTTTCTAGTTCCTTTCCTTGGAACAACTAACTTTTACCCACGAGTACGCTCGCTAATATCATTAAGTACCTATATTTATATCGCAGATGTCATTGCTTCAAATACCCATTATATGAAATTTCTGAACTGATTTCGTAATGGCATATTTAATGCTTAAAAAAACAAATAATGTTAAAAAAATATATAATTTGTTACAATTAAATTTCAGTGCACTAGTCTGAATTAAAGTAAAATTAATAACTGATTAAATACTAAAATATAAGCACTAAATATACATAGTAATTAATCGATAAGTCTAGCTCTTTTTTTTTAATTTGAGGTAAAGTTGTAACTTTTGTAGCATATGTATCGTTTATCTCTTTCAAAATGATATCTAATAATTAATAAAGTAATAAATATAATATAAAACGACTATGTTTCTTAGTTTATTAAAATATAAAATATAAAGATAGACAATTTTGATAAATTTAGTTTCTAACTAATTAATATCGGTAAATATTTACCGTTACCAATATTCGAAAATCAAAAGTTCTGCAGACAGGCTCTGCGGTTTAGAAGTCAATCACATATAAAAATCATTTTGCTAAAAACTAGCTCTGTTCCATGGACATTCCTAACGGTCGCTACTTTATTTCATTCTACTAATTTTATAATCGCGAAAGTTTTGAGGATGGATATTTAAATTCAAATTCAAATTCAAATGTTTATTGCATTCCATAATGTTACATTAGGTGTTATTATATGTGTATCAGTATTAAGATCATTATGGACCCTGTCGGGCACAGCAAATTACAAAATAATAAAATTAACTTACATTACAAAATAATAAAATCAACTTATATGACAAAATAACAAAATTTAACTTATATTATGAAATTATAAAGTTCAAATATATTTTAAAATTAAATTAAATTAGGAAATAAAATAAATTTATGAACTTAATTTAAATTAGGAAATTAGGTAAATTAAATTAATAATAATAAAAATGTTTTTAATCTATAACTACGTAACGTAAAACATCTTATACATTAGAGAGGTATATGTATATGTAACTTTACAGTATTTTTGAAAATAATCTTCTTGTGATATACCTAAAATTATTATTGTATTTGTACTTTCATACTAATTAAATTATGACATCATTCATTCGTTTCATCAAAGAAATCTTTCAAGGTATAATAACATCTTTCAATTAAATATTTTTTTAGTCTTACTATAAATACACTGTTTTTTTCTATTTCTACAATTTCTTTTGGCAGTTTATTATATATTTTTATGGACATTACTAGGGGGCCGGAATGATACATTTTAAGTCGGGATGGGGGTAGGTTCAGTCTGTTTTTGTGGCGCAATGTGTATTTACTTTGTGTTTGTTCTCGGGTAGTGTAGAAGTCTGGATGTTGTCGAACAAATTTACATGTCTCTAAGATGTAAAGGCAGGTCAGGGTAAGTATTTTATATTTGTGAAAATATGGTCTGCAGCTATCCGTTTGTTCAATATTTGCTATTACCCGGATTAGTTTTTTCTGCAGCGTAAAAACTGTATGTGAATCCGTACTGTTGCCCCACAAAATAATACCATAGCTAAGCCATGCTTGTGCGTACGCATAGTAAGTTGTGAGAGCAGTTTCTATGTTGGTCGTCTTTTTGATTTCGCGTAAGGCGTAGGAGAATTTTGAGAGCTTTGCTTTTATTTTTTGGACATGAGCCTTCCAGTTTAAATGTGTGTCGATTTTTAATCCGAGAAGTGTAAAGTCGTTTACTTGTTCAAGATTTATACCTCTGAAATTTAGGTTTATGTTTAGGGCGGGTTTTTGACGAGGATGGAAAGTTATTATTTTAGTTTTTGTGTAATTTATTTCTAGGTTATGGTTATACATCCAGTCATTTACTTGAGATAGGAGGGGGCACAGGTTGTCATTTATGTTTACGTCGTTTTGGCATTGGGCGAGTAATGAGATGTCATCCGCGAATAATACACAAGGTCCATTTATAGACTTTGGCAGGTCATTTATGTAAATGAGGAAAAGCAGGCAGCCTATAACACTTCCTTGAGGGATAGACGCAGTTATTTGTTTATCGTCGGATCTTACTTTTTCTATTTCTCTAGTGTGGTTATTAAAATATTCAATTTCTACTAATTGTGTACGACCCTGCAAGTATGACGCAAACCAGTCGTGAGCCTTGCCTCGTATTCCTAAACCGTACAATTTATTCAGTAATATGTTGAATTTCACTTTATCGTATGCCTTCGTCATATCGAGTAGTATACCTACGGCATACCTTTTCTTGTTAATTATGCTGAGAGCTTCTTGAACATATTTATAGACTGCAAGTGTTGTGGATCTATTTTTACGAAAACCGTTTTGGCTGTCGTCTAGGAGTTTAAATTTTTCGCAAAATGAATAGACTCTGTCGCACATTATCCTTTCGAAAATTTTAGAAGCAGTCGGTAACAAAGCTATGGGTCGATAGTTATTAGGGTCAAGTTTCGAGTTTTTTTTATGAATAGGTTTAATCAATGATTTTTTCAGTAGGTGTGGGAATTTATTGTCTCTTTGGAGTAAAAACTGCTGAACTGATTTTAATAAAATTTGGCACATAGATAAAATATAATCTAGAATAACACAGGCTATGTTTCATCCTGATAACGCAGGAGAAGCCATTGGCAGAATCTCTCACAGAATATAACCTCATTGAAGATTTGGATTACCGTTAATTATTTTTTTAAGACTTGCGATTTTTTTATCCATATGAGCCCCTTGGTTTGTTCATATAACAATGTAATGTATTCGTATAACTACACCAAAGTTATAAAAAAAACCAAAGAAAGTATTAAGTATATTCCTATGTGTACATAGGCTAAACTCCGTAATGACTGGACCGATTTAAAAACTAAACAAATACTATATCACACACTGAAAAGGATAATATATCGGCAATTTAACCCAATATTTCGACAAATCATCTAGCAAAAACTCCCAAATTCCACGAACAGTGGCTTATATTCAGTAACTAGTTTGCTTATAAAAAATAAAGATGTCAACCATAAAATATGAAATTGTGCCTAATCAATTGCGGTCAACTTATTTGAACTACAATTCTCGATTCGAAAGTGTTATACGCATAATTAATCATTGTTTTTACAATAATTAGCGAACGGAACTGCGATTTGCGTGACTGCACTATTGTGCAATCGAATTTAAGTATGTAACTTTAAGTAGAAATGTAATTTTATATACCTACATGATCGTTGGGTGATGTTTTATAGCCTACTAGCTACTATTGCGCGGTTTCACCCGCTGCTCAGCTCCATTTGATCGTAGCGTGATCTTTTATAGCCTATAGCACTCAGGAACATTGTAGCTATCTATCAGTGAAAGAATTTTGGCAATCCGACCAGCGGTTCCAAAGATTACCCTATACATACAAACATATTAACTTACAAATTTTACCTCTTTATAATAATTATTATAGATAGCCTACCTCGATAAATGGAGTAACAAACACAAAAAGAGTTGTTCAATCAAGAAACAAACTCTACAGCTTTAAATATTATTAGTATAGATTTATGTTGTCATCGCCATTAGTGTGGGAGAGCCATGCTTCGGTACGAGTGGGCCGTCTCGACCAGAGCGATACCACCTTACAGAAAGCGAGCGTGAAGCAACACCGTATTTCGCCGTGTGAATGAAGTTAACGGAGGCTCAATTCGCCACGCCCCCACCCATCCTCTATCCTCAAGTCCTTCCTAACCTTCAATCCCTAACAACACACAAGAGTAGCAACGTGGTAAGGTTGTGGTAAGTAGGTACGTTGGTGTTACG